ATCTGACCTGCAATGTCCTTAGTGCTGTGGTTGAGAAACAAAGGCCAGCCAACATAGTGAGACCGTCTCAAAAAAGAGACTGGGGATGTAGCTTGGGGTAGGATGGTAGAATGCATCTGACTTCAATCCCCAAAACTAAAAAAAATCTCGAGGTCAAGGTATCCATTGTGCAATGCCAGGCAATCCTTCACCTATCACCCCTTGGTCAGGGATCCTTAATCAGGAGGAGGAAGGATGACCATGTATTTTTCTCCATAATAATTTCATAATATATTTTTTTGGTAAGCAGCAGATTTTATAATGGCAACATTAAGAGATAATTACAAGGCTTGTACAAGAGCATGTAAGTCTGATTCCAACTGGCTGAGTGGAGTGAATGAGTCTGAAATCATTAGCACATAGGGATCAAAGTGAACAAGGATGGAAGCAAGAATATCTTACGTATCATAGTCATTGAGACAACTGGTAATGAATGAGGCATTTCAGAGAGGATGATGACTTTTGCCTCCAGAAGGACTTAAATTTTCTCCTGGCAGGTGCCCAGAGATGCTACTGCTTAGGGATCACCCTAATTCTATTTTAACATTAAGATGACTCAGAGGAAGCTGGGAATATAGTTCAGTGGTGCAGTGTCTGCAGAGCAGGCTGAAGCCCTGGATTTAATCCTCAGCACCAAAACAACAACAATAAAGTCTCTGACTCTTCCTTAAATTGTATTAGTCTTAAGAACAGGACATTTCTGCACTAAAACTAAAATTTTCAGTTTTTATCATATTTTTCGGTTATTTGTTTAAAAATTTGCTTCTGCTGGGTGTGGTGGTACATGACTATAATCTTAGTGACTTGGGAGGTTGAGACAGAAGGATTGAAAGTTCAAACCAGCCTCAGTAAGATAGCAAGGCCCTAGGTAACTTAGCAAATCCTGTCTCAAAATAAAAAATAAAAATGGCTAGGCAATTCTGGTTAAAAAAAGAAAGGTGCTTTCTTTTTTTATTATTTTGAACATACCAAACACCAAGTCTGTGTCTGATAACTCTGTTACCTGGATTCCTGTGTTTGTTACATCATCTGTTATTTCTCTTGGTTTCTGTCATTGTTTTTTCTGAACCTTTGGAAGGTGATTTGTGATTGGGTGCTTGCCTTAGTCCGTCCAGACTGCTACAACAGAATACCTTAGAATGAGTGGCTTAAAATCAAGAGAGATTTACATTTCTCAGTTCTGGAGGCTGGGAAGTGTAAGGTGAAGGCACTGGAAGACTTGGGGTCTGGTGAGGGCTGCTTCTGCACAGCTCACTGTCTTCTCTGTAAACTCCCCTATAGAAGGTATGAGGGACCTTCAGGACCTCTTTAATAAGTGCATGAATCCCACTTATGAGAGCTCTGCCCTCACGACCTCATCTTACAACGTCTCTACCTCCACATACTCTCACATTGGGGA